CATCTGGGCTCACGCCATCCTGTCTCATTTTCCAGCGTAAACAGGTGCGCAGGATCCAGAAATGGATCAAAATGATGAAAAACCACTCCAAATACCGTGGCAGCAAGAAGGTACTGTGGAGCTGAGGGCCCCTCGGGAACACTGACAGCTGAGTTGGGGTTTGAGCAGTGCCCATTCCCGTGCCAGGAACTGCCTGCCTCTCAGATGTCCAGGGGCAACTGTCCAGCCCCCAGGGACACAGGTCATGTGCACCCCTTCCCCATACACGCAGGACACTGTCCTGGTAGAAAATCTGAAGTCACTGCTGAAGACAATCCCAGATGCAGGGCAGGTGTGGTTCCAGGTGCCCTGTAGGGGGCTGACAGTGCACGGTGGAGCCAGTGCCCCTGAGCCCTTGGCCCCGAGTCACTGTGGGTCATAAGGCCCCTGTCTGGGCAGATCCTCCCTCTGCCAATACACACGGAGCCTCTGGCTTCTCCCTCCTGGGTCTCACCCTGCGCTCTCTCCCTGAGTGGCCACGTTCACCACTCACCAGAGCCTCCTCTCTCCTATAGTTTCAGCACAGAATTTACAAGGGGATCCATGCCCAGGTGCGCGGGAAGATGTGGGCCATGATGCTGGAGGTGGACAAGAAGAAGGCCCAGAATCCAGGCACACACATGGTACAGCTCTGCACTCAGCTCGAGGGCAATGCGCCTTATTTGAAACCTAATGGCCAATTTGGTATACAACCTGGTGAGTATTCTGGGATCATGTCCCAGGTCCTACCCCAACAGTCACCAGGAGCTTGGCAGTGTTGGGATGCTCCTCCCAGGACTAGTGCCCCACAGGTCGGGGTGGGGATGGAGATGAGCCCTGTGACTATGCTGTGGAAATGATGGTAGAGATGTGTCCCGCTGATGCCATTGCACCTGTCAGATATGTGGCAGGTGCCAAGGGCCTGAATCCCACTCCACACCGTGCCACTGCCACAACCACCCACTCAGACCTTTCCAATGAGGCGAGCAGGTGCAGGACTCCATGGGTGATCCACCAAGGCCTGGGCATCCCCATCCCACTGACCTGCCACTGACCAACTCTGCCTGGAGCCCTGGGGCCTGGCACTCAGGAAGCCCAGGCCTGCACCCATGACAGAGGCACACTTCCCTGTTCCGGCCCTGGCCTGGTGCACTTCCTGGCTTACTTCTCCCTCATGTGAGAAAGGGCCAACAGGTCACCTGTGGAGCTCAAGGATCCAGCGGCTACCATGGGTGTGGAGCCTGGATTCCCACAGCAGCCTGGCCCATCCTGACATCTTGGGGGTGCAAGGTGTCCTGGCTTCTGGTCTCCCCCCTGTGCTGCATGAGCTCAGGCCCTGTAGGATTCTACAAGAACACTGAGACGTGGGCTCCAATTCTTAGGATGCCAACACCAAGTGGCAGGATTCAGGCTGAGGGGGAGGCCAGAGGGGCTGCCTCCTCAATCTTCCTGGGCCCTTCAGTGGGTGACCCTGGTCTCCCTGAGAGGTGGGCCAACCCAGATTTCATTCTTGCCAGGGGAGGTCACAGAAAGGCATTCTGGGGTCTGGCAGGAGGTGGGCTACAGCCATGTGTTGGGGTTCTTGCTTATGTTCATGACCGAGGGGACTCTCTCTGGGCCCTGGCCCAACTCGTGGAAAACAGCAAGCACATGATGCATGGTAGGTGGATGGCATGTGGGGACCAGTGTATGCAAGTCCATATACAGCCCTCATTGGCTCCTGAATGTGCAGGACAATGTCCCTGTGGTGGGGCTCCCTAGAAACCAGGGCTGGTAGAGGAATCCTAGACTGAGCAAGTCCCTTTCTCTCCCCAAAACCCAAAATCCTTGCAACCAACCAAGGCCATCGTGTGTGTGGGAACTTTCAGAACAAGGGGTTCTGTCATTGGTCACATGACACAGGTCCCAAGTGTCCCTTCTAACTCACAAACTCTATGCTTCCTCTCAAGCACAGAGCCACACCCAGGGAACTTGCAGAAGGCAGCATCCCCTGTAGGGTCACCCCCTCCTCACTCCTGAGTGTCACAATGGTCAGGAGGCACCCAGTTGACAGCACCCACCCCAGCAGGCTGCAGGGGCAGCCTGGCCTGGGCTGCACACAGTCACCCACCTGCACCCATCTCCAAAGCAGGTCCTCTGCCCTGGCCACGTTTGTTCCCACCTGTCCCTGGTCGAGCCTCCCCTGACGCTCAGTGCTCAGATACACACCACCCCGGCCTTGGGCTCTCCAGCCTTCCTAGGAGGAGGCTCTAACATGGGGGGGGGGGTGGCCGATACTACTCAGGTTTCTACAAACCAAACACCCCAAAACTGGAGCGATTCCAGCAACACCTGGGAGATATCGTGCATCGCATGCTCCCCTCCCTGGAGAAACACCTGGTAAGTAAAGCACCTCCTTTCTCCTCTCGGGGGACTCTGTGCTCAGGGAGGGGAGGTCAGAGAGGGGTCCTGACTCCCTCCTGGGCCAGGCTTTGCTTGGTTACTGGGGTCCGCGGCAGATTGGGTGCTGGTTTGTTTTCCAGCACTTGGTCCCCCAGAGTTTGCGTAGATTGCAGGGAGACGCTCTCCCCAGGGCAGAGTGGACTGAGGGACCTGTGTCCCTTCAGGAACCTGCATGGCTGAGAGAGGGGATGCACCTGCTGCTGGGCTTCCTGCACCCAGGGGCTCTGCCACAGGGCTAGATTAGAGGGAGTCAGGCCTGGGCCCTGGGCCCTGAGCCCCCTCTGCCTCTTCTTAGGAGAAGGAGGGTGTGTACCTCGAGGACTACACCACACACTGGTACATCCAGTGCTTTCTGGATGGAGTAAGTGCCCCAGGGACCCCTTACCCAGGGAAGCCCCTGCCCCACTGCCTGGCTCTCTGGTTCTGGTGGCCTCTGACTCTGAGCTCCCCCAGCCCCAGCAAACACAGGAGGGAGTCTGCTGTGCAGACCAGGCACGTCCTGCCCTGCTGAGTGATGGTGGTCCAAGCTGAGCCTGAGCCTTAGGGCCAGCAAGGAGGGGACAGGTCCCACCAGGAACCATCCTGAGAGTCTGGAAAAGGCCAGAGCCCTACCATGTGAGGCAGGAGATCCACAGACCCCCAGTGGCAGAGGCTGGTGTCAGCACAGCCCAAGGGCTGACCCCTCCCCCAGGACCCTGGGGTGTCTGGCATGTCCAGTGTGGCTTCCAAAGTGTGCAGACCCCCAGGGTCCAGGACAGGACATGGTCATCACTCTGGGTGTGGTTCCCTGAGTGGGCGGGAGTGTGACACTGCACACCCACCCCCTGTGGGCCCTTCTGAGGCCCTGACGCGTGGGGTCCTCCAATGCCTGCTGTCCTCCAGGCATCGTTCCCCCTGGTTCTGAGGATGTAGGACATCTATATCCTTGAGGGCGAGCACGTGCTCACCACCATGACCTATACAACTCTCAAGATCCATCGCAGTAAGTCCTCAGAGCCCACCGAGGCCAGGGTGCAGGGATGAAGGAGCTGCCTGGCTGTGGTGAGATGGACTTAGGGGAGGGACTAGGAGGTTTCTGAGTCCTGGGTCTACTTGGGGAGGGCACTGAGAAACCCCTGTTACACTCCCAATGCCAGCAACACACAGTGCACAGATTGGGATGGCCAGGGTCACTGCCCAGGGAAAGCGGCCCCTGGTCCTCCAGTGCAAGGCATGACATCCATGGGTGTCCAAGGGGGCTACTCTCCCCCCATGATTCAGGGGCTGGGCTGTGGAGCTGTCCTTAGGCCCTGCTTGTGGCTCTGGCTCCTTGGCTGACCTCCACTCTGGAGTGGAGTCGAGGCCCTGCCTTTAGCTTCCCCGCCCAAGTCTGGAGCAGGTGTCCTGGCTCACTGTCCCCAGGAACCCGAAGCACAGCTGGACCCCCACTCCAGCAAGATGAGAAGCAGCCCTACCTGCCCAGGGGGCCTCTCGCAGACTGACCCCACACAGGCTCCTGGCACTATGACCACAGCTGTCTGCACACAGGACTCTCCTAGGACAGGGGTGGGAGGGTCCTACCTGCATGTGAGCAGGGCTAGAGGGAGGTGGGGGCTGTGGGAGACCCTGTGCAGTGAAGGCCAAAGCCAGCCAGCACTGGATCCCCTTCAGCCATCTGAGGACCCCTGGAAAGCCCTGGTGCCCTGAGCCCAGTTATGAGGGCTGGGTCCACTCCTGTGAGCAGAGTGGGTGCAGAGGCAGGTGCTGGGGGCCCCTGTGGCAGAACCCAGAGTGTAGCTGTTTGAGATTTGCATTCCTAGCCTGGGGCCTACAGAGAGCAGCAGAATCCATAGCATTGCTCCTGGTGGGCTCTGGTGGAGAGGGGTCCCCATGCTAGCCCCCTGCTGCTGCCATCAAGGACCTGAGTGCCTGGGTCCCCATGCAGAGCAGAGATGGCTTTGTCCCAGCTCTAGAGGCTGGCAGTGGGGGCCCAGGGGCAGGCTGTTCAAGCACTGGTGAGGCCCCATGGCAGCCCTGCCACCTCTTTATAATCAGCACTCCCTGTCCCCAAGGGCCTGGCCCAGACTCCAAGTCTGCCCCAGAGCCCCAGCTCTCACCACCACCACCTTAGCCATTTAGGAAGGGTACAGACACCTGTCCTTAGGGCGGTCCTGTGTCAGGGCACAGGGACGTCAGGTGGAGCAGGTGTTGGGAACAGCACAGGGTCCTGAGTTGCTCCCAGCGGTCCCCAGAGATGAGAGAGTGAGGCAGGGAGGTCAGGGCCCCACCACACCTGTGGGGGCTGTGCGGGAGCAGCCAGAGGGGTCCCCAGGCTGCTCACACCTTTCCCTCTGTGGTCATCAGCCTACAAGAGTCCTCAGCATCACACGGGGTGTTGGGGACCCCAGGGTGACGTCAGGGCAGGCAGTCTGCAGGCCAGATGGAAGCTGTGGAGAAGCAAACCACGTCTGTTCTTCCAGCAAAGGAAATAAACATTGCAGCAGGCCTGGGGCAGACACACATCCCAGAAGCACATCTGCTCCCACAGCCTGGTGGCCAAGATCACCGAGAGGACATGCGGGCACTGTGGGAGCAGACCAGGGCTCTAACTTCCACCCAGAGAGGAAGCTCCCCTGTGGGGAACTCACAGTCTCCACGTGTGGCCAGTCCCTCTGAGACTCCCGAGAGCTCGTGGGGGAGAGGAGGGCTGTGCCAATGCCAAATCTGAAACTGCCCGGACACACGGAAGATGAGGAGTCTTTCGATGCTGGCAGCCAGGAGGGCCTCTGCATGTGGGCTCCTCCACGGGCCTCACAGCCCCCAGAACCAGGGCCCATGCAGGCCGTCCTAGCCTGGGGGCCACGGCTGAGGACTCCCTACCTGCATGGCAGCTCCATGCACTCTGGGTACAGTCACAGGCTGGAGCCGGCCAGATCCAGCCCTGTGCTTGGAGACCAGGCCCAGTGCCCTCCCTGGCTCGAGGCCTCCTTAGCTCCTACTCCATGGGACACCTGGATGATGGGTGCCTCCTGGAAGAGGCTGAGCCCACCATGTGTCCTGCCCAGGCTGGGCAGCAGCCTGCTGTTCTCTACACAGAGTCCTCTACACTGGATTGAGCCCCCACCCACCCAGTGGCCCTCCCCATCCTCTTCCTGTTCCAGGGCAGAGGGGTGTCAGAACTGCCATGGGCATCCCCAAAGCTTGAAGATGACAGCACAGAGCCAGGAGCCACTGGACTGTTCCCACCCCCACCCTCAAGGAGAACCTTTAGGCCTTTATTCTTGATGCTGACGTGTATTAAATTGTTTCCATGTATTAAAGCGTTAGATTGAACGCGCCTGCTCCAGTTTTGTGACCCGCAGAGCCCAGCTTCAGCAGGGCTTCTTTGTGTTTCTGATGAGCGTTGGAGGCTCCACAGCCCCCACCCCAGGAAGAGATCTGCACAGCACCCTGAAGCTAATGCCTGAGATTCACCTGTGCCCTCCAGGGGGCTGGGTCAGGGCTGGGAGGGCAGCAGTGAGTGCCCGTGAGCTCTGGGACAGATCTGGACCATAGGGACAGCTGTGGGGGGAGGGAATATCCATAGAATGTTTCATATGACGATATTGCTAGAGGAAGCTTTACAGATACAAATGTATATATTAAATAATACAGATGTCAAGTCAATAAATTTTTACCTTTAAAGACTAGAAGAGCAGAAGAACCCCAAGGGCAGTGGAAGGAGGTAAAAGAAAGATAAGAACTGCAATCAATCAATCTGAATAGAGAAAACACACGACCAAAATTCCATGAACCACAAGCTGATTTCTGCAAGGATCAGTGAAAATGACAAACTATTCTCTAGAGCAGACAAAAGAAAATAAGGAAAGACACAAGTTATTTCAGATCAGAAATAAAGGAGCAGACATCACTACTCACCTCACTAAAAGGATCAGGGAACTCTATGGAAAATCATAAGCCAGTTCTTTAGACAACATTGATAAAGTGGATGATTTTCTATAAACACACAAAGTGCCAAATGTCACTCATGTAAAAATAGGAAATCTGAACATATTGTAACACAGAGATTGAAGTAGTAAAAAAAAAAATCCCATGAAGAAACACGCAGCGCCAGATGGCTTCACTGGTGGGATCTCCAAAACATGTAAAGGATGATTAAAACCAGAATTCAGAAACCCTCCTGAAGCAGAAGAAGAAGAAGCACCTGCCATCTGATGTCAGGGCACCAGTATGAGCCTGATGTGAAAATAAAACTACATCATACAGAAAACCACAAACAAGTATCACCTGTGAATATACAAAAATGATCAGCAAACGGAATCCAGCGTAATAAAAGGTTTACACACTCTGATTAACTGAGCATAATTCCAGGAATGCAAGGATGGTAAACACGAAAGGGCAATCAATGTAATAAACAGAATAAGGACACACACACAGGCCTTTAGAGACACAGCAAAGTATCTGAAAAAACTGAGTGTGTCTCTCTACCCCAAACCCGTCCTCCTCTGACTATTTTAGTAAATAGTAAAACCTATGAGAGATCAGGTACGTTTTCAGAGAAGAACATTGACACCATATTGTATACAAGTGCCCTAGTCCCACAGAACCCAGATGTGGTATTATATTCCTAGCCATCTTTCTGACTAGGAAATGACTTCCACATAAAGTTTCAAAGGAAGACTACAAGGAGACCTTAGCCTCTCCTTCTGAGAACGGATAGTTACCAACTTACACCACCCACTGCTACCTGATCAAGTCTGGAAAGTTCTTGAAAAACCAAAATGCACCTCCCGAGGCAAGGGTTGTGAGAAGACAAGTTTGCCAGCTTTCACCTGGACAACGCCCACAGCCCACAGTGGTTGAACCAGACAGTGGACAACACTGAGTCAGGTGTGAGGGGTCTTCAGAGTGTTCATGGGAAATACACATTAACTGTTACACTCCATTGATCCAGGGAGATTTTGAAGAAAGACATAGACCCCCATCAGGAGGAGGAGGCAAATCTTCCTGTTGGGCACCTGAATGGTCTATGATCTATGGTCAACACAGATATAATAGACTGATTCAGAAAGACACAAACTGCTAAAACTGACTCCAGTAAAACTAGAAACTCTGAATATACTTATAATTTGAAAAGAGATTGCTGTATCAGAAAAACAAAAAAACCATGAAGAAAAGTCCAGGACCAGATGGCTCCAAAGGTGAAAACACACATTTAAAGGATAATTGAAGTCCTTGATTCGCAAACTCTCCCAAAAAGGAGATGAATAGGAAAAACATTCCATTTTATTCCATCAGACCAGCATTAGCCCAACAGCCAACACAAACAGATCATAAAGAAAATGGCACACAAATATCCGTTATGAATGTGTCCCATGCCTCAACAAAAGATTACCAAACCCTATCCAGAAGCCCAACAAAAGGTTCGCACACTCTGTGCATCTGGGAGTTACTTCAGTAATGCAAGGATGGCTACCATAAAAAAATCAACATATCACAGAACAGAATAAACACGGGAAAAGCCCACAAAGCACCCCTATAGACAGAGAAAACCTATTTTGCATAAACTTAATTACCTTTGAGATATTAAAGAAATCACCAAATTAGGAACGAAGGCCAACCTCGGCTGGACAACGAACTTTCATGAAAAATGCACACAGTGCGGCATCACACCGAATGCAGTAACCAGAAACCGTCCTCGGAGCCCAGGAAACAGACGAGCATGTTCGTTCCTACTCTTGGGTCAGGGAGCTCACAGGTCTAGAGCAGGGTGGCTGGGCCATCAACAAGGACACAAAGGGGAACACGGGCCGTTCCGGGAGCAGGCAGAGCCACCTCTGCTCTCCACAGCTGCTCGCACACTGGGCAAAGTTCCAGGGTCCGCACAGCACCACTGCGACTCCGCCCACACCCTGCTCCCTGCAGGACCCCAGAGCAACAGGCAAGGTGCAGAGGCCTGGCCCAAGCCAGCAGGGAAGCCCCCAGCAGGAACCCGGGACCCCCCCGCCCCTTACTCACCACAGGGAGCCCCGTTGTGCTTGCTGGACAGAGGCCCGCGAAGGCCTTTGCTTCAATGCCGCCTCAGGCCTGGAGCGCTAGGCCCACCCGTGGGAGCTGCCACCCAGCGCCCTGCTCCACCCGTGCTGCCCCCTGCAGTTTCCATGGAGCACCCAGGAAGCCAGTGGCCTCGGTGTGGTGAGGGTGCTGTGGTCTGCGCTGAGACCCAGCACACACAATGGCTCCTCCACCTACCTGGGCCCCTGCACCCGCATGGGACCTGGAAGACTCCAGACTGTGGACATTTGGAGAGGGAACCAGCAGGTGAAGACTTGGCCTTCCAAAGAAGTAAATAAATCTTTTAATAAAAATAAATGAACACCTGTGCATGGAATTCAAAATTTTTCATACAAAATAAACTTCTCTCTCTCTATTTCATTATTTCTTTTCATCCGAAAGGCACACCACACCACACACACCACACACACAACACACACACAACACACTTGTATCCACTACTTCACTCTCCAGTGTCTGCAGTAACCAGGGCTGTGTCTCATGCACACACACACACATACACACACACAATCCAATCTGTAGCTCTGAATTCAAATACACAAATAGCTTTAAAAACATAAAATCAAATAGGGGCCAGGATTCTGGCATGATGGGTAAAGCTGCCGCCTGTGCTGCCAGCATCCCATGTGGGCACCTGTTCCAGTCCTGACTGTTCTGCTTCCAATCCAGCTCCCTCCTTGCCCTGGAGGGCAGTGGAGGATGTCTCAGGTGCTTGGGTCCTTGTATTCCTGTGGGGGACCTGGGGAGGCTCCTGGCTCCTGACTTCGGATTGGTCCGGCTCCGAATATTGCGGCCACTTATGGAATGGACCAGCAGATGAAGGACCACCCGCCCCGCCTTTCTCTGACTCTTTCAAATAAATAAATACATATTTAAAAAAGCAAATTGATAATAACATTACTAGGTGAATGATAATCAAAGAATTCGAAATATTCAGTGCATTTTCTATGTAAATCTCAAAGATTCTGGGGGCAGAAATTTAAAAAAGAAAACAGGAATCTCTCCTCCTAGATCAGAAAGAAGACTAACGGTTTTGCTCTTGTTTCTTCTGATCAACATGCTGCTAGAGGTTTTAAGCAGAGCGAAGGGGGGAAAAAGTAACTAAAAGGACACCATTCTAGAAAAGAAGTAAAATTATCTCTGTTTTCCCACGGCATGGTCTCACAGAGAAAAATGAGAAACACAAAGAACTATTAGGACTAAACAAGCACCTCCAGCAAGGTGGCAACATAAAAGAGCAACAAGCAAACATGAAGTGCATTTCTGTACGACAGCAGTGAACAGTCAGAGGAGAACATCAGAAGAGCCATCACTCACCACTGCGTTGTCTGCCCTGTGGCCTGGTAATAGCTCCATGCCATCTGTCGCTCACCTGCTTCTTCAGCCCGAAGCCTGAGGCACAAGCAGAGGCAGTGGCAGCCCAGGCCCTCAGAGTGGATGCTGGGCTGGGCAGGTACCCTGCTCCCCCACACTGAGGGCAGCCAGCTTCCAGCAGTGCCGCCAGGATAAGGACAAGGCCATGGGGGCCCTGTCCAGCCAGGAGGAACTCCCAAGGGCCAGGACTCCCGGAAGCACACCCTCTCCTGCACATAGACTGAAGAGAAGGCAGTGCCAGGGGCACCCCTGCCCACAGTGCTGCTCGTGAGGCAGGGCCTGGTGAAAACCCCTCCCATCACCACTTCTGCCTTGACTGTCACTTGGGCAGGGTCTGCACCGGAAGTACAGCAGCCGACTCCAGACCCTGAACCAGGGGCCCTTCACAGGGCCAGGCTGGGAGAGTGGCCCAGTCAGGAGGGGACTGCAGTAGCAGCAGCCCCACCAGAGAATCTGCTTCAGGACCCGCAGGGTGAGTTCACGGAGGGCCTTTATGAGCATCGGAGTGGGCACTGACCTGGAACCTGGAGGTCCAACAGCTGCCCGCCACGTATCCTCTCATTCGAGCAGCCACTCCTCTGAATGTGGCCAAGTGGGTGGGAAGGGGAGGGCACAGCAGAGTCTCCACGGAGCAGATCAGACAGACAGCCTGGGTCTGCAGGGAACAGCTTGAAAACCAGATGGAGGCGGATCACTGCCCCGTAAAACAAGATGACTGCACTCATCTGCCTGCCCATGGATCGGACCATCTACAGGTGAACTCCAGTCTCTGCAGAGGCCAGGAGTCCTGGAGGGCCAAGTTCTGGGCCCTTCCAAACAAGGCCCACTGGGCTGAAGGACGCTGCTTTGAACCCCCCCTTCCACCAGGGACTGAGCCCCGGCTAATGACACCTCTCTCCCAGATACTGGCTGTGTGCTTCTCTGATGAAGGCGGCTGGTCAGCAGCCCCTGCACACTGAGACGATGACATCACGGCTTCTCTGACACCAGTCAGTATTTGAAGCACTCACCAACACTCTGACGATTACTCCCCGTCCCATATTGTGTCCCTCTACATCTGGTAGTCGCTCAACTCGTGTAGAATACAGGGCCAACATAAGCGGCAGTTTATTCCTACTCAATTCCATCAACCAGGAGCAGGAAAGCATAAAGCCAGTTAAACAAGTGACAGAACCAGACTTCCTTGTGGATGCAGGTGTCTATGGGGGAAAAAAACCCTGCTGTCCTCAGGTGACCTGGCTGATGCAGCTTCTGACTGCAGACTGAGGCTCTGCCCTTGCCCTTGCCCTTGCTTAGGAGAATGCAAGGGCAGCCTGGAGCACACTGGTTTCCTCCTGCCAGCCGTACACGAGCAGTCCACGATATACCCGGCCTATCATCCTTCTGTGTCTTCATTTTCCAAAAGCCAAGGGTAAGCTGACATTTGGTTGCTTTTCCACCAGAAACCCGATGTTCTCTGATGTCAGTGTACAACCTACCAGGGCACAAGCTCCGGGGAGCTGTCCTGCAGCAAGTCCTGAGGTCCCTCGGCAGAAGCCGTCATGCTCAGTGACACTCGGGATTTCTCTGAGTGCTGCCTCCGTGAGTATCAGTACTACATCTCTCTGAGGGCAACCATCTCCCACCACATCAGAAACCATCTGTAAGGAAATAGTGTGACCACTGCAAAAAAGAATTCATTGGGCAGTTATCAAACTCAAACACCTGGGAATGAAATTTTCAAAAGAACTGCAAAATGGGAAACAAAATCTGCAAAACATCATTGTAATCCACCAAGTGCCTACATAAACAGAAGACATCTTATGTGTGTAGCCTGGAAAATGTAGTGCTGTTAAATAACAATATTCCCCAAATTCCCTACACAAATCACACAATTCCTTCCAAACTCTAGTGCCCTTTCTTCAAACTTGATGTACAGATGCCAAAATTCATACAGAGAGGTAAGGAACCCAGTAGGAGCAAAGCAGCTTTGAAAATGAAAGATACTGTTAGAAGATTCACATTTCCCAATATCAAAACTTAGTCCCAGGGCCTGTGCATGTGGCATAGGAGGTAAAGCTGCTGCTTGTGGCGCCTGCATACCAGACGGGCAAGGGTTTGAGTCCAAGTGCTCCACTTCTGATCTGGCTCCCTGCTACTGTGCCTGGGAAACAGCAGAGGATGGCCCAAGTACATAGGGCCTTGCCCTATGTGTAGACCTCCATGAAGCTCCTGGCTTTGACCATCTCTGTAGCCTCTGTGGCCATTTGGAATGAATCTATGAATAGAAGTACTCTGTATTAACTCTGCCTTTCAAATAAATCAATCTTTAAAAAAAATTAGAAACAAACCAAAAAAATGGTCTTTAGCAGTGCCACTGCAGGCAAAAATGGAAGTGAAAAGCAACCATCCTGGGAGAGGCAGAATCACCCCTGTTCTCCCCTAGCGTGAGCTCACATTCAGAAAAGTGCTAAGCAATCCACAGCAGTAGTAGAACTCCCAGCATGCCCAGCACAGCGGCAGAATCAAAGAGCAATATGCAAAGAAGAATGGCATGGCACAGGCTGACAGGGAAGAATCACAAAAGGAAACTAGAAGTCTTCCTCACTCACCTTAAAAGGTCTCTATGCTGGATCAGAGAAACAAGTCCACAAGACTTTCCACTTCGCACGCTGCTTCAGCCCAGAGCCCGAGGCTCAGGCAGAGGTAGCAGCCGACCATGGACCTGAGAGCAGCTGGGCCCGGTGGCTTCCATGGAGCACCAATGGGAAGCAGCCGGCTGCTGGAAGAACCACCACACGTGGTGCTAGGTACAAAGGCCTTGGTGAAATCCACCTCAAACCCAGAGGCTGCACACACATTCCATGGGGAGGAATCCGCCCCATGAGGGACACGCCCTGGGAGGAGGACTCGGAAACTCACACACAGCCACCTCTAGCATCCAAGCTGTCAGAGGTGCCCAATGGAGGAGGGGCAGGCAGGTGACCACCCGGTCCCTCAGGGGAATCAGCTTCTGGCCCCCAATGCTGTTTTCCTCTAGGCATCCACATGGACACTGACCTGGAACACGGAGGTCAAAGAAGCGCCTGATAGCCCTGTCTCCAGAAAGATGAAGCGCAGAGATGACACTGTCTTCCAGGGTTCCATGCCTAACACAGAAAAGTACATAATCATAGCATCAAGGAGCAGAGCAAAGGGGCTTATAAGCTGGTAAGAGGTCCACAGTTCATGTGAAATGGATGGAAACATTGATTCTAATTAGGCTGTGATACAGTTAAGGAATTTTTGCAAAAAGTAACGGAAAATTTTTGAAAGAAGGTACAAATAGAGTGGGTTTAATTAAAATGGGTAAAATATGTCCTGGTGGATGTTCCAAGAACGTGGAGTATGGAGGGAACTTACTAAACTTGCTCAGGAGAAGATAGTTTTTAAAAAGTAGAGACAAAGTAGCCTAAGGGAAGAGTTAGGGAAAAATGGTAGAATAAACTCTACCAAAATTAGAGGGACAAGGTGGACCTCCATGGAGGGTGTGGGCGCCCATGGCTCAGGACTCCAACTTCTGGGAGCCAATGCAACAGCGCTGGAAAGTGAGGTGACACTAGACTGCAGCATCCCAAGCCACTGGTGAAAAAGTGGCAGGAAAAGCCTAGAGGGAACCAGCCTCGGTGCCCCATGGGGGAAAGTGTATCAGCCAAGTAGAGGAGGAAAAAAAAAAAAAGAGGATGGGACGGACATGTTTCCCTCTCCTGAATCACTTTGCAATGGTGCACCACAACAAACCGATAGAGTGGGCGCCGTTTTGGATATACAAACAGCTGCAACAGCTCGTGGCTACACCTGGTAACCAGCCAAGCAGAGACTCCTGACTCTGGTGGGGAGAACTAACAGGGGGCTAAGAGCTGGTGACTGTGTGAAGCTTGTGAACTGGGAATGTGAAAGAAACTGAGGGTGTGTGGGAGGAATCACGATGTGGCTGGGACTCTGAGTAGTCTCACTGGGAGACTCCCCAAGCTCAGGGGTTCCTGGTTACCTGGTGAGAGACATTGCTGGGGAATCTGAACTTACACTGAGGACCACACAGATCCTTGAGCAGACAAATACTATATCCTCTGGGGCTAGCTTTCAGACACTGGTCTCCATAGAGGAGAAGAGCTCAGCTGAGCAGTATACCTTGCTTTTGATTGCAAAAATAGAGAAGATTTGCCACACCAAACCTGGGTGTATCACCCTAGGCATGCCCTTACCCCTGGAGAACTGAACATAGTTCTCTGGACACAACCACTACAAGCCTCTAGAGATTCACTGAGCAGACAGTCCACTTATCTACAGAGTCATAATACAATGATAAAAGACACTACAGCAAAAAAAAATAAAAAAGAGGAATACCAAACATAGCTCATTAGATTATATAGAGTAATAAAAATCAAATGCACAAAGTACTAAAATTCATGCAGGACATGAAAGATAATTTATCCCATGAAATTGAGATCTTAAAGAGGAATCAAAATGAAATGAAGAATTTATAGAACATGAAATTGAGATATTAAAGAGAAATCAAAATGAAGAATTCAATAGGATAAATAAAAATGCAGTGGAGAGCATTAAAAACAGAATTGGTGAAGCAGAAGAGAGACTATCGAACTAAGAAGACAAAGCACAGCAAAGTATACAGTCAAATCAAAGACAAGAAGAGGAAATTAGAAAACTGAAAAACACTGTTGGGAATCTACAGGATACAATAAAAAAATAGTATGGGTACTAGGAGTCCCTGAAGGCATGGAGAGAGAGGGAGAAAAGATTAGAAGGCCTTATTAGTGAAATAATAGCAGAAAACTTCCAGGGTTTGGAAAGAAAGGGACCTCCAACTATAAGAAGCACACAGAACTCCCAACTGACATGATGAGAAAAGATCCTCACCATGGCATACTGTCTTCAAACTCACCACAGTGAAATATGAAGAGAAGATTCTAAAACGTGCATGAGAGAAACACCAGGTTATTTTCAGAGGCTCTCCAATTAGACTCATAGTGGACTTCAAACCCTACAGGCTAGGAGACAGGCAAGATACAGTCCAATTCCTAAGAGAAAAAAAAAAAACTCATCCCAGAACATTATACCCTGCAAAGCTCTCATTTGTTAATGAAGGTGAAATAACAACAACAAACAGAAATTGCAATAATTTGTCACCTTCAGTCCAGCCCTGCAAAAGATGCTTAAAGATGTGCTGCACAGATACACAGAAACTCAGACACATGGTCATCAATACAAAAAAAGGTAAAGGAAGAAAATCTCTCAGTAAAAGGTCAAAGGAAGTTCAAAGTATAAATTATGAATATCTTTGGAAGCTAGCAGGGCAAAGTCCTTCTTATCAGTAGTCACACTGAATGCAAGTGGCCTCAACTCCCCAGTATAAAGACACAGACTGGCTGAGTGGATTAAAAAACAAAACTCATCTTTTTGCTGCCTACAAGAAACACATTTCACTAACAAAGATGCATGGAGACTGAAAGTGAAAAGATGGAAAAAGATATTCCATGCCTACAGAAACCAAAAAAGAGCTGGTGTAGCCATCTTAATGTCAGACCAAATAGGCCTTAACACAAGAACTGTTAAAAGAGAGAAAGAAGAGCATATGTATAGAATGATTAAGGGACCAATGCAACAGCAAGATGTAACTATTATAAAGGCATATGCACCTGATTACAGGGCACCTGGCTATCTAAAAAGAATGTTAAGGGATCTAAAGGAAGACATAGACTACACCACAATAGTACTGGGGGAATCAGGTTTCTACTTTCAGCAATGGACAGATCAACCTGACAGAAAACCAACAAGGAAACAGCAGATTTAGTTGACTCTATAAAACAAACAGACCTCACAGATATCTACAGAACTTTTCATCCTACAGTTGCAGAATAAACACTCTTCTCAGCAGCACATGGAACTTTGCCAGGAGTGATGACATACAAGGCCATACAGCAAGTCGCAGCAAATTCAAAACAACAGAAATCATACCATGCATCCTCACGGACCACAACGGAATGAAGCTAGAAATCAGCAGCTCAGGAATCCCTAGAGCATATGCAAACACATGGAGACTGAACAACATGCTCCTGAATGAACAGTGGGTCACCGAAGAAATCAGAAGAGAAATCCAAACATTTCTGGAAACAAATGAAGATGACAACACAACATATCAAAACTCATGGGATACAGCAAAAGCAGTGTTAAGAGGAAAGTTTATAGGAATGCATGCCTATTCCAAGAAATTGGAAAGGCACCAAATAAATGAGCTTTCAAAGCTTCTCAAGGATCTGGAAGAACAACAGCAAACCAAACCCAAAACTAGAAGGAGAACAGAAATTATTAAAATTAGAGAAGAAATCAAAAAAATTGTATCCAAAAAACAATACAAAGACCAATAAAACGAAGAGCTGGTTTTTGAAAAAATAAACAAAATTGACACATCAGTGGCCCAAATAACCAAAAAAGGAAAGAGAACATCCAAATCAATAAAATAACAAATGAAAAAGGAAATGTAACAACTGACACCACAGAAAGAAAAAGAATTATCAGAAATTACTACAAAGAGCTGTATGCCAACAAACTGGGAAACAGCAGAAATGGATAGATTTCCTGGACACATACAACCTACCTAAATTGAGCCATGAAGATAGAGGAAACCTATACAAGGCTGGGGCCGCGGCTCACTAGGCTAATCCTCCACCTTGCGGCGCTGGCACACAGGGTTCTAGTCCCGGTCGGGGTGCCGGATTCTGTCCCGGTTGCCCCTCTTCCAGGCCAGCTCTCTGCCGTGGCCAGGGAGTGCAGTGGAGGATGGCCCGAGTACTTGGGCCCTGCACCCCATGGGATACCAGGATAAGTACCTGGCTCCTGCCTTCGGATCAGCGTGGTGCGCCGGCTGCAGAGCGCCAGCCGCAGCGGCCATTGGAGGGTGAATCAATGGCAAAGGAAGACCCTTCTCTCTGTCTCTCTCTCTCACTGTCCACTCTGCCTGTCAAAAAAAAAAAAAAGAAAAAGAGAAAACCTATACAGACCTATAACCAAGATGGAAATTGAATCAGTAATAAAGGCCCTCCCAACAAAGTAATAAAGGCCCTCCCAACAAAGAAAAGCCCAGGGCTGGATGGATTCACTGCTGAATCCTACCAGACATTTAAAGAAGAACTAACTCCAATTCTTCTCAAGCTATTCAAAACAACTGAGAGAGAATCCTCCCAAATCCTTTCTACAAAGCCAGCGTCACCTTAATTCCTAATCCTGAAAAAGATGCAACAGAGAAAAAGAATTATAGACCAATTTCCCTGATGAACACAGACACAGCAATCGTCAACAAAATTCTAGCCAATCAATCCAACAACACATCAGAAAGATCATCCACCCAGACCAAGTGAGGTTTATTGCTAGTATGCAGGGATGGTGCAATATTTGCAAATCAAACAAGGTGATACACCACATTAACAAACTGCTGAAAAAAATATGGCTATCTCAATAGATGCAGAGAAAGCATTTGATAAAATACAACTCTTTCTTGATAAAAACTCTAAGCAAATTGGTATAGAAGGAATGTTCTTCAACACAATCAAGGCAATTTATGACAAACCCACGGCCAGCATCATAGTGAATGAGGAAAATTTCAAAGCATTCCCACTGAGATCCGGTACCAGACAAGGATGTCCACTCTCACTGTTGCTATTCAATATAGTACTGGACGTTTTCGCCAGAGCCATTAGGCAAGAAAAAGAAATCAAATGGGTACAAATTGGAAGGGAGAAGTCAAAATATCCCTATTTGCAGATGACAGGATTTTTTATATAGGGGATCCAAAGGACTCCACTAAGACTATTAGAACTCATAGAAGAGTTTGGTAAGTAGCAGGATATAAAACTCAGTACATAAAAATCAACATCCTTTGTGTACACAGACAATGCCATGACTGAGAAAGAACTTCTAAGAGCAATCCCATTCCCAATAGCTATAAAAAATCAAGTACTTTGGAATAAACTTAATCAAGGATGTCAAAGCTCTCTACAATGAGATTTACCAAACGTTAAAGAAAGAAATGGAAGAAATTCAAAAAAATGGAAAAATCTTCCATACTTATGGATTGGAAGAATCAATATCATCAAAATGTTTGTTCTTCCAAAAGCAATTTACAGATTCAATGCAATACCAATCAAAATACCAAAGATTTTTTTCACAGATCTAGAAAAATGCTGCTGAAATTCATACAGAGGCATAGGAGACCTAGAATAGTTAAAAAGCAATCTTTTACAACAAAAACAAAGCTGGAGGCATTACAATACCAGATTTTAAGAGAAACCATGGGGCAGTTATAATCAAAACTGCCTGGTACTGGGTAGACCAATGGAACAGAATAGAAACACCAGAAATCAATCCAAACATCTACAACCAACTTATATTTGATCAAGGAGCTAAAACCAATTCCTAGAAAAAGGATATTCTATTCAACAAATGGTCCTGGGAAAATGGGGTTTCCACATGCACAAGTATGAGCCAAGATTCCTACCTACACCTTATACAATATCCACAACATGGATTCAAGATCTAAATCTATGACCTGACATCATCAAATTATTAGAGAACATGGGAGAAACCCTACAAGATATTGGCACAGGCAAAGACTTCTTGGAAAATGCCCCAGAGGCACAGGTAGCCAAAGCCAAAATTAACAACTAGGATTCCATCAAATTGAGAAGTTTGTGTACAGCAAAAGAAACAGTCATGAAAGTGAAGAGGCAATTGACAGAATGGGAGAAATTATTTGCAAACTATGCAAATAATAAAGGATTCATAACCAGAATCTACAAAGAGATCAGGTAATGCCACCACAACAAAGCAAACAACCCACTTAAGAAATGGGCCAAGGACTTAAACACACATTTTTCAAAAGAGGAAATCCAAATGGCCAACAGACACATGAAAAAATGTTCAGGATCACTAACCCTCAGGGAAATGCAAATCAAAACCAACATGAGGTTTCACTTCACCCAGGTTAGAATGGCTTTCATACAGGAATCAAGAAACAACAAATGCTGGTGAGGATGTGGGGAAAAGGTACCCTAATCCTCTCGTTGGTGGGGATGCAAGATGGCAAAGACACTATGGAAGACA